TAAGTGGCTCAGGGAAAATTCTGTGTTTTCTTTTCAGCTACCTGGACAACTTCACTTAGGAGAAACACAGGAAAGATCATTAACAGAATTCACATCATTAACAGAATACACATCATTAACATTAACAATATTTGTCTCTCCTGCATGTGACTTTTACACAGAACACAGTAACAAGGCACCTGATTCAGCAATAACCATTTCCCAGCAGAACCCCCAAATTTACCAGTCTGGGGATAAGACGATAATCCCAAATATATGTGCTATAGATGAATCTATGGCCCTTTGCTGTTGGGACAGTCTATTTAATTCTACCTTCCACATTAACAAAGTAAAAGCTTGAAAAGTGGTACCCTGAGCTGTAGAAGGATTTGTTCAAATGTTTCATAGCATTAAGAGGTACCACATATTTCATTACCATGTGTGGTGACAGTATTGCTGCGGCAAAGCTTGAGTGACAAGACAAAAGGTGGGAAAAGATTGTGTCACCCCTTGGATATTCTCAAAGAACAGGCTGAGAACTCTGAGAACTTTCAGCTTGTATATTCTTGTGTCCTTGGCATATAGAAAGGAGAGACATTTGGGGAAAGGAGAAGATGACAATAAAAAAAAAGCAGGTTGTAGATGATTTGACGCTGGAATGGTGTCTGAGGATTATATCTGCAATAATTTAATAAGCAGATTTGCAGACTTCACACTCAGCTACATTTTGCAATTCATTGTCTTTAATACTCTCCCGGATTTCTGCATCCTGTGTGCCCCGTCCTATAAGGATGCCACTAATCTAAAGTGCTACTTTAAAGTGCCACTAATCTATTTTCCTAAAGGATTTTTCTTTTTAAAGTCTACTTTAAATACTGTCAGTTTTTTATGTGCTTCTTCATCTCCTCATTAACTTTTTCCATAATATTTTTCTTTTTTTTTTTTTCCTCAAACTACTTCCTCAGTATCTCCTCCTGAATTAAATGTCAAAAGGAGGGGAGTAAAGAGACCAGCAAAATTCCTAGAAAGGAATTATAGAGTTGTCTTAGAGACCCACCCTGTGAGCAAGCACTAGGCCTAAAGAAAAGCTAAATGGCAATTCTCTAGCCTGGATGTTTACTTGTTGAAAGTAAACAAGGTTTAAAAAAAAAAAAAAGACAAAGGTTTTTCTATGTCATGGGTTTTAAGGGCATAGACTAATTAAAGTATCATTTACAGCTTGTAGTGAAAACTGGACAAACCTGTATGAATTGTSATAGAAATGTAGCAGGGTTTCATGGTGAAGACTGTTTCTGGTAGATTGCGAGATATAAACACTGATGAATTTGTAAGATATTGATGGATATGACAAGAGCTGGAGAAAGGTGGAGGTGAACTTCATGACAAAGAAGGGTGAGATTTGCCTTTAGCTTCAAAAACATTAAGTACATACAACCTCTGTTTCAGGAAGCACTTGAGTTTTGGATCACTGGAGGCCAGGACTAAACGAGGGAAGGATGATCCTTTGCTTGTCTTTTCCCCATGGTCTTTCTTATATCTTCCCTAAGGCCACTGCTGTACAGGAGTTATGGATCTGTATGGACTTCTGATCACGGGAGTGGGAACTGTGTTTAGACTGGATTTAATTTCTGCTTTTGTGAAGGTGCTCACATACACAGATTGATTTTTTTTTTTCCCTGCAGATATCTAATATTTGTGTTTTTCACACTCTCTCATCGTCCATTTCCCTTCCCTGAGGTTTGACTCTGAAGGTTAGGGACTCCTCCRGGTTGACCAAAGTCAGAAAGCCAAAGGCACATTACAGATCTCAGACACTAAGATTTACATAAGCAGAAAGGGACACCGTGTTCCACAAAGTGCCATTCTGTCCCTCCTGAATAGTTCTCAGCCCTCAACACTTCTTCCTAGTCCAGGAGCTGGTTCTACTTTTCCTCAAAGGTGCCACAAAACTGGCCAGCCAAGTGAGTGCTCGGCAGCATCCGTGAGACTCATTATGTACTGAGCACATTTTGAGTCATAAACAAAATGATTTGGGTAGCTCATTATTCAATGAGGCAAAAGACAGTGAGGAAAACTCAGCAGCCACAAAGAAATAATTTGCTAAAAATGTAGAAATTAAATTAAATGAGATRAAATGAAGATATTCCTGCTTACTCAAGTTGTCATACTCGTTTTCAGACAAGTAGATTAAAGGCTGCAGAGGAGCCCGTGTGGTTTGCCATGCTCCTGGGTGGGTTTGCCCGGCACAGAAGGCAGCTCCTTGGACACCAGGGCACATCCCTTCTGGCCTGGGTGATCTCATAGCCACCCACCGAGCACGACCCCTTGTCCGCTCTCCGAGCTCCCTCCTGCCCAGCTCCCGAATGAAACGCACCCCTCCATGACCTAGTAGGGAGCAATGCTGCATGCCCCCCACACCCCAAATCCTGCACCCCAGAGGCTCTCCCATGCCAGAAGGGTCGATACTTCAAAATGCTGCTGCCCCTTTCTCCAGCTAACGTGCACATCGCTGTTCCCAAGCAGAGGGACTCAGCGCCTTCTCCTTCCCTTTCCCCTCTACGATGGCCCCCCCCCCTCGCGCTTCCCCACCCGCGATCCCCTCCTTCCCTCCGCGGACCGGGAGCATCCCGGGAAGCGGCGGGCACCGATCCGCGGTGCGCGGCGGAGCGGGGGCGGCCCCGGCAACCCGCGGCTTTCCGCCGCCTCCCGGCGCCGCTTTCGTTTGGCGACCGTCGCTCCGAGGAGAAAAACACCCGAAACGCCCTAACCCCGGGCGAAGGAAAAAAAAWATATATATAGTGTTGGTGGGGGGYGAAAGGGAGCGAGTTTAAAGCACCGGGATTAAAGGTCTTTGCTAGCTTCAAGCTCTCTTAAAAACCGACCCCAAGGATGCTATTTTGCTGCAGTCTGGGTTATTTCAGCCCGCAGTTGCACAACAAACCATTTAAACATTTCAGCACAAAACAGATTCTATTGTTGGGCTGCACATTAAAAAGTGTTATTCGCTTTGAAGTTTTTGTCTAATGGCTCTAAACTGAAAGAAAATGTTTTCCTATTACTTAATTCAATCATAGCGAAGAGGCTTGGTAAAAAGCCCACGGATTTTGCCCAAAGTGTGACAGAGTTCTCTTTGTGTTTGCTTATCCTCTGCTGTCACACACTTTAATTCGCCTCTCTTTATCTGGCATTCAAAACTTTCTTCAATGACATTCAATAAGGTCCAGCGGCTGAAAAAAAAAAAAAAAAAAAAAAAGAAGAAGAAAAAAAAAACTGGTTATTTTTTGGATATTCTTTCCCAGTAGCTTTGGGCTTGGTGCATTCAGGAGCTGTTAACCCTTTGCCTCCCTGTGGCTCCAAGCCCTGGGGTTCAGCCCCAGACAGCGGGAACCGCTGAGCCGGAGAGGGGAATCAGCCCCCTTGGGCGCCCGGCCACTTCCCAGGGGGCAGAGTTCCCCCTTCCCGGGAAGAGCTCGGCGGGGAATCACGTTAAAACGTTAAATTACGAGCTCCTTAAAAACATAAACAAAAACACCCTCCTCCCCTTCAAATAACGCTTTTAGGGGAAGGACATTTGAAAACCCCTTCTAAATAACCGCGGAACTAGTCTTTTTGCTAGTTTTCGTTGTTGTCCTTTCGTTCCTTTTTCCCCTTTTATTTGGAAATACACGGGCATTTCTCAGCTCCGGCATAACAGCATCTCGGCAAAACTCTCATAGATTCCAATGAGAAATGCGATCGCAAGGAAAAAACAACCTCTTCATAAACCAGAGGCACAGGATTACATTTTCCCAGCCTTTTTTTTTTTTTTCTTCATATTCTTCGCTTTATTTGAAGAAATACATTTATGTCTGAAGCGGACAGGTTCTCGTCAGCCGAAATCGCCTCTCGTTTTGACGGCAGTGCTGTCCGTCAGCSAGTGCGCTTGTCTTTTCCCTGGATATTAAACAGGAAAATGGGGAAGAAAACGCAACCTGATGAACATTTGATTTTCTTATTCGTTCCTTATTCACCTACATAGTCACCAGGCTCCGGGGAACCCGCGTGTCCCACGCAGGGCGAGTCCGCGCGTTCGCTCGGAGGGACAAGCGGCGCCTAGGGTAAAACCGGCGCTAAGTTGTGCCGAGCCCCAACGCTAAGAAAAGCAGAGCGCCTGTTTGCGCGTGTTAATTCTCATGGTRTGGGGGGAATGCGCCCGTTATTTCCCCGCACAGCCTTTCCCGGAGCCCGGCGGAGGGGCAGGTTGCGGGACTGCAGGTACCGCAGCGAGGGACGAGSAGGGAGAGACGTGCGGAGCGAGCGCGGCCGCTCGCCCGCTCTTTGCCCGCACCTGCGGAGCCGTCCCGGGGTGCGGAGCGACGTTACCCCGCACCGGGACCACAGGATCCGCCTGAGCCAGGACATGGGATCCGCCTGCACTGGGACCCGCCTGCAGCGGGGCCGCGGGACCCGCCTGCACCGGGGGCTGCGAGCGGCAGGTGCCGGCTCGGGACCGCGCACAAAGACGCGGGGCCGGGAGCAGCAAAGCGGGACCGAGGGAGAAGCGGCGGGGGCGGCAAAGCGCGGCCGGGCCGGTGCTGCCACAGGTGGGGAAGGCGGCGGGGGGCTGCGGGGAAGGCGGCGGCGAGCGCGGCTGCAGCCGGCAAAGTAAACAAGGGGGGAAGCGGGCTGCGAGCCGCCCTGAAAGCGAAGGAGCGCGGTAAAGAGAAAGAAAAGAATATTAAATGGCGAGAGAATGAGAAAATAACCCCGCCAAAGGGAGAGGAGGGGAGAGGCCGCCCGCTCCGGCGTGGGTGGGGTCGCCCCGAATGGAGTACATTATGCAGTTCATTTAGTTAACAAGGGAAATAATGAGGGAGCGTGCGGCGTGAATGCCAAGAGAAGCGACACAGAAAGCCCATTGAGAGCCCGGCGCCGCCACCATCACATGGCGGGGCCGCTATTTAAGCGGGCGCGCGGGCGCCGTTCAGCACCACTCGCGCTGGCCAGCGGCGCGGGGCGCTGCGCGGGCGCTGCGCGGGGCCATGCCGCGCTCCTTCCTCGTGGACTCGCTGGTGCTGCGCGAGGCGGGCGACAAGAAGGGCGAGGGCAGCCCGCCGCCGCCGCCGCTCTTCCCGTACGCCGTGCACCCGTCGCACCCGCTGCCCGCGCTGCCCGCCGCYGCCTGCACGGCGCGCAAGGCCGGGCTGCTCTGCGTCTGCCCGCTCTGTGTCACCGCCTCGCAGCTGCACCCGCCGCCGCCCGCCATCCCCCTGCTCAAGGCCTCCTTCCCCCCGTTCGGCTCGCAGTACTGCCCCTCGCCCCTGGCCCGGCAGCAGCACCCCGTCTCGGCCGTCGGTGTGGGGCACGCACCGGCGCTCTACCAGGGCGCCTACCCGCTGCCCGACCCCCGGCAGTTCCACTGCATCTCCGTGGGTAAGCCCGGACGCGCGTGGGCTCTGGGGGACAGCGCGAGGGATGGGGGGGGGGGGCCGTCGGGGCGCTTTGGGAGTTGGGTCCCTGCGCCCCGCAGCCTCGACGGGGCGTCCAGGCGCATCTCCCCGCGGGGACTGTCCCGGCGCCCTCGGGCTGGGGACATTCCTGGCCCAGGCGGGTGGAGGCTGGGCGGGATGCGGCCACCGCGGAGCCGGGCGGGGGTCCCGGGCGGGCCGGGGCCGGTGCTGAGCGCTGCTCCGCTCCGCAGACAGCACGTCCAGCCAGCTGCCGAGCAGCAAGCGGATGCGCACCGCCTTCACGAGCACGCAGCTCCTGGAGCTCGAGAGGGAGTTCGCCTCCAACATGTACCTCTCCCGGCTGCGGCGAATCGAGATCGCCACCTACCTGAACCTCTCCGAGAAGCAGGTGAAGATCTGGTTCCAGAACCGCCGCGTCAAGCACAAGAAGGAAGGCAAAAGCAGCTCGCATCGAGGCGGGGGCTCTGGCCACAGCTGCAAATGCTCGTCCCTTTCCAGCACGAAGTGCTCGGAGGACGACGAGGACTTGCGCATGTCCCCATCCTCCTCCGGGAAGGACGACAGAGGCCTCGCAGGCAGCCCCTAGCCCCTGCCCGCCGGACACCGGCTCCGCGGGGACTGTGCGCGAGCAGCACGAGGAGCCTGCTCCAGTGCCCACCTGCACTGCAAGGATTTTATACTGTTTTTGTATAATCTGTGTAATTTAACAAGGACTTGCGCCTTTCTAGACCCTCGGCCACGAGGGCCGGTGTCTGTGAGCCCTGTTGTAAATAAACTGCTCCCTAGGGCCCTAGGCCCCCCTTAGTGCCCGCCGGCTCCCTAGTCTCCCCGCAGGAACAGCCCGTCGGGCCCCATCCAGACGCGGAGGACGGTGCGGATGCTGCGCGGGGGCGCAGTGGCCGGCGGCCGCCCCAGTACTCCCCGCGGCAACACCGAGGAGAGAGAAAGCGGGTGGGTGGGGGTTATCAGTATTAATGTTTGAATTATCAGTATTAATTTCTTTCTCTCTCTCTCTCTCTTTTTTCTTTTTTTTTTTTTTTTTTTTTTTTTTTTTTTTTTTTTTTTTCCCCTGCCCTAAAATTTCTCGGTTTGATTTTGCCCTCGGCCATTTCGGGCACACGGCTGCAGTTGTACCTTCCCGTCCTCTTTTATCCCCCTATTTCCCACGGGATATATTTATTTATTTATTTATGTGCAAAGAGAATGGCGATGATAATGGTGATGATGATGATAATAAAGCCTCGTTGGTGGTTTATTTGCTCCCTTCACGTCGAAACAAAAAGCACCTTTTTAGAGTCCCACTGGGCGCCCCGCCTCGGAGCAGCGTCTCTGCCCGCCCCGTCGGGCGCCTCTGCGCCGCGGCCGGTCCCTTGGGTCCGACTCGGTCCCTTTGGAAGGCGCGAGGTGCCGAGTTCCCAGCCCAGACTCGCCGCGGTCCCGGCTCCCGCCTCCTGCAAAGAACGGGCTCCGGTTCCATCCTCCCTCTGCTCGGCGCATCCCTTCCCCTCACTCTGCGGGAGCGAAAGGCAGAATCTATACACTGCAGTATGTATGGCTATAGGTGAACACAAGCCCCGCGGCGCCCGGCGCCCTGGGCAGCCGCTGCGCACGGGCTCGGCCGTGTCCGGCTCTGGCGCAGGGAGACGGAGCTTTGCTGTCCCTGTCCCTGTGTGCGCCCCCGCGGGACCGGCTCTTCCATCCTCAGGGGCCTGAATCCTGCAGACCTCAGGAAGAGGGAGCGGAGAGCTCAGACTTCTCTGAACCTCCCCGAAGTCCCCGCTGAAAGGGGGCGAGGACAGAGAAGGGACCACGCTGTTAGAGGCAGGGCTCTGCCGTCGGCGACATCTCTGCTGCTCCATGTCCTCAAGTGCCATCCATAGGGCAGGCGCTTGGTACCGGGCTCCCCGCGGCTCCCTGAGCGGTGGCAGAGCCGGGACATCCGTGCGCTCCCGTGGCTCCGCACCGCGCTCGAGCAGCGAGCAGACCCCGGAGACCGCGGGAGGCTGCGCAGCTCCCGGGCCAGCCGGGTGGGCAGGAGGGATGAGGAGCCCGGGGACAAGGACTGCGAGGGTCCTGGGTCCTGATCTGAGCAGTGCAGGACATGCACAGGGCAGCACCTGGGGCCTCGCATCTAGAGAGGGTGGCACAACTGCTGTGACTACCGCGGCACGTGTCCCCTCCTGCTGGTAGGTCCAAAGGATGGCGAGACTGGACAAGTGTCCTGGTATCGAGTTTGTGGCATGTGGGTAAAAAGTTTGAGCCCTTCTGTTCCTTTGGGGGCCCTGCTCTCTCCTCCCACCTCAGCTTCCAGCTTCTCCTTCCTGCAGGATGTCTGTGCAGACACACAGTGGCCAGGGGGATGGTGCTTCCCTCTCCCAAAGCTATTTGCACACATTCCATGGGCTGAAGGAAGAAACTTCTCCAGGGAGCAGGGACAAGAGCCTGGGCTCGCTGCACTCAGCCAGACTCCCACTGTGCTTGGCCCGTATCTCTCCCTGGGGACCTTCCCCCTGCATCCCAGAATGGAGCTCTCTGTGGACCCCTCAGCTAATTGGCTTGGCAGGGCCCTGCAGCCTTTCCTGCCCGCCTCATTTACTAGACTTGCTTTGAAAAGTCATTGCAAAATAGAGACACAGAAACAACCCAAGCTGGCATTAGCAAGGGCCTGGCATCCTCTTAAAAAGGGAGGGTGGCTTCGAAGTCAACAAGTGCCCAGAGGGTGTAATTGCTACTGGTGCCTTTGTGCGGCACASATTTGAGCCAGCTGGCTGGCGGTGGGGTGGGAAGAACACCAGTGATGGGCATTTAATGGCATTATTAATGTGCTGGTGTGGTGGTTGTATCAAAACTCTCCATATACTTGTCTGCCAGCACTGGCCCACCACCATCCTAGTGTTCAATGGTATGAGAATTGATATATATTCATATAAACCTGCCTCAGATTTTCTCAGCTAGGACATAACATACACAGGCTCTGCAGACCCAGGTTCTGGAGAGTGTCCTCCCTGCAGACAGAGCAGCTGCAGGCCACAAGGTGCATCTGTGGTGGCCCTGTCCTGGTGAGCACACATGTTCTGGAGAGCACGTGCACACATGTGCCTGTGTCCTTTGTGGACCGGGTTTGGCCGGCACAGCCTAATCCTTAGCCCTAAAAGACCCTCCACATATGTAAAGCATCAAGGAGAATTCCCCAGTATGGCATAATTTTGTAGCAGTACAGCAGTAAAGAGCCTCAATGGGTGCCCCCAAGAAGACAATATTAATATTCTCTGATGCAGCCCGGCCTCTACTGCAGACCCCGTGTACCTTGTAAAGTCCACAGGGGCTCTCAGCGCACTCGACAGTCATTATGCCACATCCACATGCAGAGATAATCCCTCCTTAGTTGGGCATTTTTCTAATTTAGTGAGAAATCATTACAGCGAATGTTCCGAGTGTCATTTTCAAGGACACCGGGGTTGGGAAAATTAAAGTCATTTTGCTGTGGGAAGAGCATGGGCACCTCTGCTAAAGCGAATGTCATAACACACCAATTTTCAACTTTCTATCTCAAGCCATTTTGATGGCAGGTTTTCAAAAGTTACTTAAGCATTTCAGTATCTAAAATGCTAAAATGCCCAGTCTCTCCTGGTTGCACCTGGAATCACATTTGCAAATCTACAAAAACAAAACAAAGAAATGAACAAAATCCGCAAGCTCTAATATTTTCCAGAATATAATTTTCTACCATGTTTCTGTTCAGAGTAAATTGAATTATTTCTGCCATAAGGTACTGAAACAAGATTCTTCAGCTGCTACAGAGGTTTTACAGGTTTTGGATAGGCTGGCAATGGAGAAAACAGAGGGAGCAGCTGCTGTTCAGGTCCCTCTTTAACATAGGGATGCCCTCAGACCACCCCACGGCATTTGCAGCCCTTCTCCCTTCATCAGTGCAGCCAAAACCACGGAAGTGCAAAATGTTGAGTGTCTAGGGAGAGAAGGTCTTGGCCTCAAGGACCGATGCAGCAGTGGATACCTATGTACTTACAGCTCATGAGGGTAGAAGCGCGGAAATATCAGTTTACATTCTTTGGCTTTTAGATTTATGTTGTTTTTAGATTTCACTTTACAGAAAGGCTGCATCAAATGAGTTTATAGTTGAAAGTGTATATTCAATTCTGCAAATATCCACAGAACTGATGTTACTAACGCAGGATTTTCATGATTCAGTTTATCTGTAGTTAACACACAGTCTTAACTCCCAACTGGTCCCATGTTTCTGAACTAGTGTTTAGAGTAAACTGATGAGCAGTTTACTCTGTAGCAGCATTATATCAGGTATAGCTGGGCTTTTCTTTTACTTGGAAGGTAAAGGTTTATTTGGAATTAATCTTGCCCACGAAAGTCCTGGGATAATATAGCTTTATTTTTATCCTGCAAGCCACTAGCATAGACTATGGCATGTGATTCTTTAATGGGCATATTATTTTGTCTGTGAATATTATTGCTTTAGAGTCTATGTGGTTGTTAATAAAAGACCCTAAGTAAAATGTTGCTGCATGATATTCCTAATGATTTTAAGATATGTATATCAGCACCAGCTGTCTCTTAATTCTATAAATTTTGAAAGCATTTTTGCTATGAACATAAAGTACTCATAATTATTCAAGATTAGGGAATCTCCTAGGATACTGACACGGATGATGACAGCAAATGGCTGCAACTGTTGCTTAATGTGCCTGTAGCTAAACTAGGACTGGCTGTATCCTGCTGRACAGCCAACTACTTTATAAACACTCCACTATATACCCTACCTACTATACACCACCTCCTCTCCGTATATTCTAGGAGGTTCTGAAGTGCTTTCATTCACACCAAATCAAAACTAAAGGAAGTAGCAATGGTCATTTAAAGGTAAACAAATAAACAAGAAGAACCCCTTCATTCACAAGTGCAAATGATTTTATGTGACTCACTAGCTCCTTGCTTCATGCTTCATGTGATGCTGGTGTGGCTCCAGAAATGGTATGGGGAGGAAGATGGAGATGTCCTATCTGGAAGACTTCAGCAAGCTCCGCTGGAATTTTATTGATAGMTCATCCTTTACTGCAGTCATTTGATTTGGCATAAATGTTTGTGAATGTTTGGGTGTGGAGTTAAATTCAAATCAGGGAGTGAAACATCCTAAAATCTCTGAGTTGACCCAAATTTCGACATTRTATTTGTTGTGTGACTGAAAGGTCCTTAGGTTTTGTTTTCATGTTAGGAATTTCCTAGGAATAGTGAGTGTATATTGATCAAAGACACGTAAGTGCCAATGCAGATGTGGGGCTCAGCTCCATAGAAATCTGCTATAAAAACCCAATAGCTATGAAATTAAATCATCTCTTTTGCTGTGTTTAGATCAGCAGGCATACGCGAATATTTCCAGAATCAAACTTCCTACATTGACTTAAATGTAAATGACAGATAGTGGCTCCTATTTGAAATTAAGAAGGATGCCCACTAAGACTTGATCCAAAAGAACTATTTCAGGTTCATTTCACACCCTCTGCTACTTTTACACRTAGTGAACAGTCCTTGCACAGGAAATATTGCCCACACTCA